CTTTTTTTTAACAAAGTTTTAACATTAGAACTTCTCTTGGGGAAAAAATACTTCAGGGCTTGACTTTTGTACAAATTTTAACTGTAAAATACAGATTTATCTTGTATTTGTTCATGAAAATGGAGATCAAGGCTGCTAACGCTTTTTGTTTTAACTATCCCATTAAGGAGATACGTCAATGGTGTTTTCAACTCAATCTCTGTCTTTTAAATTATTGGCGGAATAATTGATTACTAGACAGGTTGTAAAACCAATAGATTGGTTATACAATAAAATATCAACTCATGGGTAGGGAGTCTGAATCGATTATTTCAAGTGCACCTTATTAACACAAATATCAGTGGGTCCAGTGTGAAATCTTACAGTACTAAATGTCAAGCCTAACTGTGAATTCTGTTGTGTATCTTAAGTTTATGATAATGTTCTCAAGCTGTCAACAAAATATATGTACTTTTGTGAACTATGAATTTTCTAATTAAATTTTACATGATATAACATGATTTTTACATGAATAATACTTTGTTTAAACTATCAAATGTCAGTATTTTACTACAATTTTATTATAAAATGTACATTATCACTAAATGAACTTTGATTTTAAAAAATCAAATTAGCTTTAGTTGTATATTATTTTTTACAAATAAAGATAGACTTGCAAAAAGGCTACTTTCTTGTTTGAAATTATATGAGATCATCCAACAGATACATGCTGACACCCACCCTAGGAGCTGGGTGGAGGGGACACTGCGTCATGGCAAGGTCCCTGCTTCCCTCCTGTGACCACGGAGAGGTGAACACCTGGCTTGTCTGCACTTACTGCACCCGAGTGTGGGTACCTGTGTGGGCTGACGGAAGGGGACATTTAAAATAGCTAATTCTGGTAGCATGAAAGATGACACACGGTGTCCCCAGCATTGGCACCAGCATTCTTCCTGATTGTTGGAGCCAGGAGTCTGACAGGAGAGTGCGGCTCCTGACGTTCAGATTCGCTGTTGTGCTATTTATCACCACCTCTGTAATCCGCCCCCTGCATTAAATTGAGTTCATACTGGGAAATGGAAAAGGCCTGAGGTAAAACAACATTCCTAAGCCAAAGCTCAAACCCAGAGCCTCACGTGTGCTAGACCAGTGCTCTACCATTCACCTGCACTTCAGCACCGTGTGTGTGTGTGTGTGTGTGTGTGTGTGTGTGTGTGTGTGTGTGTGTGTGTGTACGTGAACCCAGGGCCTTGTGCATGCGAGGAAAGCCCTCTACCAACTGAGCTGTATCCCCAGCCCATCCAGCACCTTTTAAGTTTTTATTCTAAGACAAGTTCTCAAAATAAGTTGCAGGTTCTGGCCTTGAAGTTGAGATCCTCCTGCTTCAGCCTCCCGGGTAAGTGGGATTAGGAGTGCACCCCACGTTTCTTCAACTGTTTCTGAGTCCGTCACCTGCAGTTGGCCCATGGATCTTCCCACCAGCCCTTTCCTAACCAGGTCAGAGGGTAACCCTGACCCCCAACCTGGGGAAGTTGGTTGTGTGCAGAGAACCCTCACCTCATTGAGGGGGGCCAGTCAACACCAGTTACTTGATTCTGGGTTTCGGGGTCCACTAAACAATGGGGAGGAGCCGAAACATTCCTTCGACCCCCAAAATGGAGCTGGTGCTGTGGCTGGTGGCCCCGCCTCAGCTGGCTGAGAGGCTCACGTTCAGGGTGAAGCCGCAAGTGTCTCGGAGACGGAGAGTTGGCTTCTCAGGAAGCCGGGGACATCCTTGCTCTCAGGACAGTCCTTGCTGTTGTCCTGGGACAGCATGTCACCAAGTGATGGGGGCTGCCTCCTGTGAGGTAAAACCCAGGCGTGCCTCCTGGAACCCCACCATTGACTGGCTGTCGGAAGACATTTTGGAAACCAAGTTCAGTCTGTGGTGTCGGGAGGGAAGGTGCAGTCTGGTGCCTCCCGGGGGCGATGTGCAGGGACTGTGAGACTTAGCACTTCAGAGTCCACAGTAAGAGTCTACCAGCTTCCCCCCGAAACGAAGTCTGATGTGGGCAGACTCCCACCCACAGGATGGAACCCAGGGGTTCACCTCCAGCCTTTTTTAGTTCATTTTGAGACAGAGTCTGGCTAAGCTATTTAGGGCCTCACTAAATTGCTGAGGCTGGCCTTGAATTTGGAATCCTCCTGCCTCAGCCTCCCCAAGATTCTGGGATTACAGGTGTGCACCAATGCACCTGACATGGGTAAAGAATATTTTAAAAGCCCATGTGTTGGCAGATATGGTGGCACACGCCTGTACTGTCAGCGACTCAGGAGGCTGAGGCAGGAGGATCACAAGTTCCAGGCTAGTCTCAGCAATTTAGCGAAGCTCTAAACAGCTTAGCCAGACCCCGTCTCTAAATAAAAAGTAAAAAGGGCTGGGGATGCGGCTCAATGGTTGAATCCCTGGTACCCAAACAAAACCAGAAAAAGCTATGATTTTTTATTTTTGTCTATCGTTTATACTGTCCTATAAAATGGAATTAAAGCTGTTTAAGAATGATTATAATCTAAACTGGGACACTTGAGAATGGACGTGTCTGCTGTTAATTATGCAGGACCACAGCCCACGGAGATGACCGGGCAGATGGCAACCATAGCATCACGGCTTCCAGGTGTTTTAAAAACTGCAGCACGCAGTAGGGATGCATTAACGCACACAGCTGTGCGTGGTGCAGACACTCGGGACCACACCTGACTACATACGACTGAAGTTTCACGAAACAAAATGGTGATGCCGACAGCCCCTCTGATTCCTTTCCTTCCTTCTTTCTTGGTGCTGGGAGTGGACCCAGGGCCTCTCTCAGGCGAGGCAGCTCCTGTTTCCGTCTTTAGAGTGTGTCTTGTGACATCCTCAAACAGTGTCACACGCGCTGTCTGAGGAACACTGGGAGGACTTCAGTGTCCCCCGTGGGAAAGTGGCCGTTTCTTTTTTCCTCTCTGAAACAGGAGAAGAGCGCAGCCTCATGTACTCGCTCACTTGCTTTTATTCTTTATTTTTTAAATTTTGAAACAATCTCAAACCTAGAACAGAGCTGCGTGGAAGGCTCAGGTCACCCCTCGCCCAGCCGACCCCCCGCGGGCCTCAGGCCTCCCGGCCTTTGCTCTTCTCTTTTTCCTGAGCCATTTGAGGACGAGTTGCGGAGAGCAAGCCCTCGCCCACTTTAGACCTGGGCATCTGTTCTGAAGACCAAGGACGTTCTCTTATGCATTCCCTCATACAACCATATTTCAGTTACGAATTCAAAAAGTTGAACATTGTTACAATATTCTCAGGAAACACACACACACACACACACACACACACACACACACACTCGAATCTCACCCAGCGGGGTGTGGTGGTGCAGACCTGTGATCCTAGCTACTCGGGAGGCTGAGGCAGGAGGATGGCAAGTTTGAGGTCAGCCTCAGCAACTTACAGGAGCCCAACTTACAAGAGTCTCAAAATTTTAAAGAATTAAAATGATGAGGGATGTAGCTCAGGGGTGAAGTACCACGGGTTCAATCCCCGCCAGATCTCACCATTGTCCCAATGATGGGCTGGCCAGAACCTCCCGCCCCCCATCTAGGACTCTAGACTCAGGCGCTGCATTTGGTTTCCTGGTCTCTCCCGGTTCCGTTCATCTGGAACGATTCCTCGGCTTGGTGTTGTGTTTCATAATATTGACATTTTTGAAGAGTAAATACAAACTGTTTTGTAGAGGGCTCCTCTGCCGGGGTTCACTGGTTTTCTCATAATTATATCCGAGCAAGGTGTTTCAGTTATGAAGACCACACAAGTGACCTTAGAGCTGCATTGGACCGTGTCGGGAACCTCATGTCTGTTTGATTTAATGCTGATTTTTTGGGGGGGATACTGAGAATTGAACCCAAGGACACTTTGCCACTGAACTACATTCCCAGCCCTTTTCATTTATTTATGTAGAAGGAGGGTTTTGCTATGTTACTTAGGACCTAAGTTGCCGAGACCGGCCTTGAACTTGCCGTCCTCCTGCCTCAGCCTCCCTGGAATGACAGGTGTGTGCCACCATTTAAGAGGAGAACTGTTCACACACACACACACACACACACACACACATACACACACTGGGGAACAGAGCAGGGCGTCTGACCACTGGGCTACACCTTCAGCCCCTTTTATGTCACCTGGAGACCGGGTCTTGCTAACTGCCCAGGCTGGCCTGGAACTTGGGATCCTCCTGCCTCAGCCTCCAGTTGCTGGGCTGTGCATCCTGCCATGAATTCGCTCGGTGACAACCAGCGCCCATGTGGGGATTGTGCAGGGGTCCCGTGCCCGAGGATCGGATGACCCCAGGTGACTCTGCGCTCAGATCACCGCCCGCTGTGGCTCCCAGGCTGGGTTTTCCTTGTCCTGCTTCACCTGCCGAAGGACCAGCTCCCGGGCCATTGATCCTAGCCCAGCCCCCGAGGCCCAGCCTGTGTTCCCGCCCAGCTCCTGCAGGTGAGGCTGGGACCGCCCAGGGCTCCTGCGTTGTGGACAGCAGGGAGAAGTTGTGCTGGGGCTTCCCCGGGCAGCCACGGCCTCTGTGGACAGCGTCCCCTCACGGCAAGGGGCGGGTGGGCTGCGGGGACACCTGGGACCGGCCCCGGAGCCCGGAGCAGGAACTCAGGAGCAGCGACCCCGGCGGGGACTGTCACCAGCATTCACTGCCTTCCTGGCACCTGCTGCGAGGCTGTAAACCCGGGGAGACCACCACCCCAACACACCACCTCTGACCCCCTGACTTACTTTATTGATTTTTTGGTACCAGGATTGAACCCGGGGCGCTTTACCACGAGCTCCCTCCCAGCCCTTTCTTACAGGGTCTCATCGAGTGACTTAGG